AAAGTGAGCGACACAAAAGAAGTTTCTTGACTTTGCCATGATGACCCTGGCATTATCGATTCTGCGGTAGACCATTGGCGAGTACTTATCTAAGTTTCTTTGGGTCAGTCTTTCTAAGTTGCTCAAATACTCATCCACGTCCCCTTTGATTTTATCTTTTAAAAGAACTTCCTCGCATTCCAATTCTTTTTGCAGTTGAATAAGATCAGAATAAATCATAGGCATAGCATCTTCTCTGTGTTCTCGAACTTTTCCAATTAGATCAGTCGACTTTTGAGCCAAAATTTTTTCAACTAAAGCTGCATCTGACTCGCCAAGCAAGCTTCTTAGCTCTGTTTGCTCAGACTCCAAACGTTTCATTTGTGAGTTCAAAGTGTCGCTCGACTCTACCAAAACTTTCGATAAACTTTCAAGCGACCCAGATTGATTTTCGGCACTCACGACACACTTGTTTACTATTTCGCTGATACCTTTTTGCAAACTCAAAGAAAGTGCATCAGGTTCAAAAGATACTCGAAACTCGTCAAATTTCGAGCATTGTTGTTTAACTTTGTCTGAAGCCAGAGCAACCGGTTTATAGCATTCGTCTAATTTCCCCAATTCTGCGTGCACAGACTGTTTAATTTCCAGTGCTTTTTCTTCCAAGCTAGCAATTTCATGTTTTTGGCTCAAATGTTCTTTGGTACATTTGTAACACACAGTTCTGCTGCAATCTAAGCAAAAATTTTCAACTGGAAGTTTGTGTTTGTCACAAATAATTACAGAGTTTCCTTTGCTGTCCGTCACTTGATGATTTTTCCTTGTATGAGGAACGATGCAGAAATTGCAAAACACTGCATCACATTTTGTCGCTCCATGACTTTCGCTTTCATCCGGACAAGTCAAGCACCTGAATTGTAAACTTGGTTCTTCTATTTCAGTTTCACAGATTTTACAGACATTGTGAATGAAAGTACCAACTTTGCTATTCATATTGGTCATGCCATTTCTGAAATATTTGTCAACAATTAGGATCCACTCAAACGTGTCTCAATTTTCAAAAATATCCTTTAATTTCTTAAACAATCAAAACAATTAAAATAAGCTTTGCTATGAAAATTGAATGAAAATACCAAATTCTAACTACAATTTCAAAAAAAAAGAAATATGTTAAATTAAACTCATCAGACCTCTGACTCAAGTCATATCTTATCCAGAAAATATAAAACGTAGCCAACAGACAATTGGAAAAGTTTCAATGGCTGCAAGAAAACCCAAAAAACTGTCTAATTTAAAACAAAATTTTGTAAATTCAAATTTCGAAGAAAAAATATGTTCTCGTAAAGCTCTTCGAATTTCAAGAACAATTGATGATCGACACATTTTTGATAAAATCAACCTATTTCGAGAAAAACTCTGCTTATTCCTCTTATTGAAATCCACTTCGAAACAAGAAGTCAATCACGTTTTTCTTAATCTTCCTTTTAACAAAAAAAAATGAGCTAACCTTCGAAAATGAGGGTGAGTCTGAAGAAAATGAATAAAAAACTAAGATCTACAAAAAGCCCGCCTCCAATAATCAATTAGCTCGCAAAAAATTAACGATTTTTATATGGAAGCTAATCAAGCAATAAAACATTGATTTAATTCAAGTTGTTTCATAGAGCGATTTAATTCGCAAAAAAGTAAACCTTTTAGGCAAGCTATTAAAGCAAGGAAACATTGAAAAAACTCAATTTATTTCATCGAGCTAATCAGTTGGCAGAAAACTGAAGTTTTTCTAAGCAAGCTATTCAAACTATGAAATCAAATATTCAAAGTTACTTCACAGAATAAACTGGTTCGCAAAAACAAATTTTTCTATGCAAGCTACTTAAAAAAAAACTTCCAAGATATTGCGTAGACTAATCTGGTTCATGGAAAAAATGAGCCTTTCTAAGCAAACTATTGAGCTATGACACTTTGAATTAATTATTTCATAAACTAAGAAAGTTCGCGAAAAACTTAAATTTTTCTAAGCAAGCTGTTTCAGCTATGACATTTAAAAAAGTCAAGTCAGTTAAAAAAGTAAACCGGATGGCAAACTATTTTTCAGTTAAAGCCTTTCAAGTGATTTTCAGGTTTTTTACTGCGCGAGTTAATGGAGCAAAGAACTTCGAAAAGTTAAAGTTTTCAAAAGTTGGCAAAATTTAAAGTTTTCCAAAGCAAGCAGTTCAAGCTATGAAACTTCAAGCTATGAGACATAATTCGAGATATTTGAGGAAACAAATCTTTTCACGAAAAACTTGTTTAGGCCAGCTAGTCGAAAATTTGAAGATTTTCTAATGTTTGAAAACTAGGACACTTCAAAAATTTCCGAGATAATTCATAGACTGACTCGGTTCGCGAAAACATTAAGTTTTTCCAAGCCAGCCAACAGAGCTATGCAACTTTAAAATACTTCAATTTATTTCATAAACCTAATCAGTACGCGAAAGGCCTACATTTTTTTACCCAAGCTAATCAAGATAATGAAATTTGAATTCTTTCAAGTTTATTTGTAGACTGAATCGGTTCACTAAATCTTTGAGTTTTTCTATGCAAGTTTTGCAGCTATGAAGCATTGAAATATTTCAAGTTATTCTATAGATTTAATCAGATCAGTTAGCGAAAAGCTTTAAATTTGTCGAAGCAAGCTATTCAAGCTTTTAAACTTTGAATTATTTCCAGTTATTTCATAGATTGAAAAAGTTCGCAAAAAATTCAAACTTTTCGAAGCAAGCAGTTTAGGCTATGAATCTTTAAAAAGTCATGTTAGTTAAAAAGTGAACCGGATGGCAAACTGTTTTTCTGTTGAGGCCTCTCAACTGATTTTGAAACATTGCAAGTTATTTCGTGGACTAAGTGGGTTCGCAAAAAGTTTTTCTAATAAGCTTCTAAAGCTAAGAAACTTTGTATTATTTCAATTTATTTCATAGACTGAATCGCTCTGAAAAAAAGGTCAAGTTTTTCTGAGCAAGCTTTTAATTTATAAACCAAGTCAGCTAATCAAGCTATGAAACTTTAAAATATTGCAAGTTATTTCATGCACTAAATCTGTTCGCGAAAAGTTTAAATTGTTTTAAGCAAGTTTTTGAAGCTATGAAATTTTGAATAGTTACAAGCTTTTCATGGACTTAATCGGTTCGCGAAAAACCTTTAAATTTTTTGAAGCAAGCTATGAAACTTTGAAATACTTCAAGTTTTTTCTCGACCCAAATCGGTTCGCAAAAAGTTTCAGTTTTTCTCAGCAAGCTTTTAAAGCTACGAAACTTTGAACTATTTCAAGTTATTTCATAGACTGAATCGGTTCGTGAAAACTTTAAGTTTTTCTAAGCAAGCTTTTCAAGCTATGAAACGTTGAAATATTTCCAACTATTTCATAGAACGAATCGGTTTGCAAAACATTTCTTTCTAAGCATGGAGGTTGCTGTTTGTAAGTGATTTGTTCCAGACTGAAATGAATTTTAAACCCAGCATTTTTGAGAAATATTAGGCAGGTACTGTCTACACTTAAAGTTGGATCGAAATTATCTTCCTCTGGCGGTGCTCTGAATAATTCTTTGACGTTACGCTCGATAGCCACTTAAACATTGTCTCCTAATAAATCGTAAGCATTATGTTCAGTTTTATAAAATAAAACTGAAAAGAAAAATAAGAAACATTCAAAAAACGTTGTCATAAAAATCGCAAAAACAAGCCCAAAAGGTGTAGAACAAAATTATCAGCACCATTAAAAACTTTACAAAGAGCTTTGAGAAGCCTAGAAAAACTGAACTTTCAAACCAAATCCTTTCTGCGGGAGCTAAGCGGGCAAAATTCAGCAAACAAAAATTGAAATCAGCCGAAAACTTTCAGTTTGCAAAAAATATATAAGCCACGACTATAGTCGAATTACCGGGATCTGACTTCAAGCACGTGTGTTACAGTAACTAAGAAGAACTCTGTGCCTTAAAAAAAATCGGATAACAGGAACTAAGACGGCAAAAAAAAACAGAGAGGCGATAGCCCAAAAGTGCATAAAATTTCAAGTTTGCATAAAAACAGTCTCCAGCCAAATTCGAACCACAGGCCTTTGCTGTCTCAAGCAGATATGTTACTTCTACGCCAGATGCGACAAATAGTTGGTTGAATTTAAATTATAGCAGACAGGAAAAGAAAGCCACAAAGTATTTAAAAAATCCAAACCCTTGAAAAACAACTTCTGGAATCATATTCCATTTGCGAAAAACATGCCCAGAAAGACAATCGACGGCGATTAACAAAACTTTAACAAATAAATAACAATCGTCAACTGGAACGAAGCATAACACTATGTTTCCTTTGAAACGACCACAAATTAGGTCCCTAAGCCGATAAAATATAAACTTCACTGTCCGAGGCATATTTTTCACCCCAGGTTAAGTGCTGGAGACTCACAAAAACTTGAATTCATTATGAACCGAGATACAAGTGATTCTGTGAAACAAGTTGTTAACCAGAAAAAAGTTAACGAAAAAATATATTTCGATGTGATAACGCTTGATGATTGCAAGCCTTTAAACAAATTAAAAATCAATCTGCGTAAAATTAAATGTGAGTGCTCAAAAAATTTTTATTTTTTAACTTCATAATTTTTGAAGCTTTTTCGAAAAACTTTTTTGTCAATGAAGCACTAAGCAAGGTCTTAAGACTAAACTTTTAAAAAGTAAAATCTAGTTTTCTCAGCCTAAACGACCAATTTTTATATAACGAACGTTACTTGATCGCTTTACCCGCTGGAAATTAGACTTAAATTCAAAAAAAATTAACCCAAAACTTTTAGATTTCGTTCCAATAACGGGCAAAAGGGCTCTAATATGTTATCTCACTCGACCCATTCCTATGATTATTTGTGGTACCTGATTTTGCGTGGAAAACAAAAAGAAAAAAATAAAACACACCGGAAGACAAAGCTCTCCCCCTTTTCAATGGTCGGAACAATAAGTGTCTTCACTTCGTTCATTCACATTAAAGAATTAAAACATTATACACGGTCGATTTATTAAAGAAAAAATGAAAACAGTTTGAAGACTAAAACAAATCTAATATGAGTCAGAGAATACGATAACATCTTAGCGTCAATTTCGTCAAATCATTCAATCACTGCCACAGTATCATCGACCGGTAGAAGTCAATCACAAATTGGGGATGGTTTTCAACGGCCTCATCCCTTCTCATCAAATCCAAGTTTTCAGTTCCTGCCCATTTGACAAGAAAGAAAGATTCGCCTCGATCATCACGACCACAATCTACTATTTTTTCGACGGGTCGTTGCTCTACCTCTGTTGTCTTTCTTTCAGGTTTTTCTTTCTAAATAAAAAAAGAGATTCATTACAACGTATAACGAAGAGGGGTCTTGATCAAGCCTCAGTTAACCAAGAATTCCAATTTGCTCAAACAAAAAACCTAACAACTCATTTCGGACAATTGAAATATAAAAAAATGTGTAGGTTACTTTCTTGGTAAAACATCGTAATGATTTTAATCAATTCGATGATATCAATTCGAGTTTCGACGAGAAAGCTTCCCATAATTTGGAAGAAAAACTTATTTCTTAAAATCTATTTCATAACTTGAATAAGGTGATTCAGCTGCTGCGCAAGTAGCTTAGAATGTTTTCTTAGAATACGTGCTTAGACAAAATCAAAACAAAGTTAACAAATGGGTTGGAAACGTGTAAAAAAGGAAAACAAAAAAAAACAAATTGATTGACAATATTTTTCAACTTATAAATATATCTTGGTAAAACTTTTTCATAAATGGGTTTTTATGTATGACTGCACTTATAGTTATGAGAGCATCTTAAGACTTTTTACTGGAAAAAATCATCAAGATCTATAAAAGTGAAAATCACTTCATTCTTTCACACATAAAAAAAAATTATAAGGGAATATAAAAATGCATTTGCCTCCCAAATTTTTAGTTTAATTGTTTCTTGTTAATTGTTTTCTAGAGCAACCTATTGCAATTGGTGAGAAATTGAAGCAAAGTGGTAATAATAGCTAAAATAGTATTCAACTTAGTAGAACAATTTTAGTTAATGCCTCTACAAGTTGCGTAACTTAGTCAGCGAATACAAATTATCCAGAGGCAGGGGCGGATTTAGGGGGGGGGCGTGGTGGGTTGGACGTTCTCCTCAGGGATTCGAACCCCTGCCAACCCAAAGGGTCCCCCCTTTGGTACTTTTTAAGAAATCCATTTTTGGCCGACCGACCCTCAAATTTTTATAAGCGCCTTTGGCGCCAATATATACTAATTTTGAGGGGGAGCGCGCGCCAAAAAAACGCGTTTTTTTGTCAAAATTTTCCAAAAAGTGCCCAAAAACGGCTTTTTTGACCTGTTTTTTCAAAAAATTTCCTGAGGCGCAGAAAATTTGGCCGAAACAGGGTCTTTTTACTGCTTTGGGAGAGCTCGGAAAATCAATCTGATCGACCTAAAAAAAAAGGTCGTCAATTTTCGAAAATTTTTTGAAAATCCGCCCCCCCCCCTCGAGATTATCCTAGATCCGCCCCTGTCCAGAGGACCATTTATCTGACAATACTTCGGTAGACACGTTGAGCCGAAAACCAAATTGTCATAAAGAACTAACGGCACAAAAATTTTGGAAAGACGCGCACCCGTTTTACACCCCACTCCTTCTGAAACGTAAGAACTCATAAAAAGAATTTTATGCTCTTTAAACGACAAAGAAAACTAATGCGATATAAAATAAAATAACAACTATTCGAGCAAAAATATAAAAATGAACTTATTCAAAACCATAGTTCGTAAACTTACAAATTGCAGAACAACTTTTTATTATGGAAAAACAATAGTGTAAATCAGAACAAATCCATTCTTTAGATATAAGGTTAAGAAAAGAAAAAGAGAAACGCTAGTACGACAATTCAGGTTTTCCCAGTAAAAATCAAAATTCATATTCATCTAAAAAAAAGGTCCGAGCGCGATTTAAAACCCAAAACTTATGACCTCAAAGCATGAAGGTTACACTGACCGAGTGGAAATGGACTTGGAAGCGGCTGAGTTTGCATTATGGAGTAAGTCCAAATTTTTACAGATTTAAAACAAAAGTTGTTTACGGCAAAAAAGTACCCTTATAAGTCACTTGCTCTAACAATTTTTTTTCTTTCTTTTTTTTGGAAATAAATCATAAATCCAATATTATCTTGGTAACCAAAGTTACTTCACTGATCCTGCATCGTTTCCTGTCTGACACCCATTTGAATTACAAGGTAGGGAAAAGTGAAGAATAACTTGGAAGTGAAGAGTCCTATGGTTGCCAATCAAGCCAACCAGCTTGATAAAATTAAACCTGAGGAAAATATACCGGAATTGAAACAAACTCAAAAAAAATGACCTGATATGAGGCTACGGGTCTATCAGATACATGTGCGTTTAGTAGATAAACAAAAAAAATCTACGAAAGTAATTTTATCAATAATTGTGCCGAGTACAGAGACCACAAGTGACGTTCGCAACCTGTAGTGCGAGGAAGATTCTCTGATCAAAAAATGCGGGTCTTGTTTTCCTTTTATTCTTGCAACCAATTTGAACTTCTAGCGATCACAGTCAGTTCTTTTACTGCCATATTTTGATTTCTTGTTTTAATTGCCAACATGTTTGAACTCGGAACTTATCGACGCAGAAAGGAGAAAAAGGTAAGTAATTTCGATCTGGAAAATTAAAAAATACGGGTAATTTGAAAAACTCAGATGAAAAAGACGAAAAGAAAGAGCCTGCCACCCGAAACCAATGGATGCAACCAAGAAAATACTGAACAAGATCACAAAAAAACCGAACAAAGAAAACAGCTTTTTTCCCAGAAGGCGAATACTGCGGATTATTACTGGAGGACTTAAAAGTTATTAGCATAAATGGAGAACAAATATCAAAAAAGTACTAGCGAGATGATTTGGGGGCCACAAAATTCCTAGACACATGAAATGTGTGAGAAACAGAAAGCTTAGCAATTTAAAATATGTAGCATCTTTAATTGGAATAAATGACTGCCTTCAAACGAGTTCGATGTAAAAAAAATCTGTAACTTAGAGATCATTGTATTCATTAAATCAAAAATTTAAACCCCAAACAATCTCAATCAGGGTAATAACTCCTTTGTAACTTTTAGAAAAGACTTTAAGGCAAATATACTGAAATTTCACATGCAGTTTTTTAAGGTAGTTAGGTAGCGCGATGTAAAGTTAGATATTTTCGAAATTCACACGTTTTCAATGAGAATGGCTTTTGGTTCGCATGGGTTGAATCGTTCTGATGCGGATGACGAAAATTTAGTGAAATCATCTTAAGATTTTTACAATAATCCTTCAATAATACAAAACTCATGTGAAAAAATCACCCGGCCCAGAATGAAACAACCCTATAAGCAACCAACTTAGATAAAAAAAACAGATATGCTTGAATTTTTCCGAAACAGTACAAAAATTCAAACTAAAATTCTCGGCTTAGTCTATGGCGATTGAATTTAAATTTTTTGAAACTATTCTGTGATGCTCAATGTTAAATTCTGGATGTTTTGTGCAGAGCTTTTAATCTCGATCTCAAACAGAAACATGTACGAAAACGAAAAAATTAAGAGATGTCTAAAATGACAAAAAAAACAGTAAAACTGAAAAAGGAGGAGCAGAGATCAACCCAACTTGTGGACTAAAAGTTTTCCGTCGCAATGATGAGACGCGAGTCAGTGCTTCGGCTACACCTTATAAAACGGATGATTTTGCTTCAGTTGTTGAATCTGGAAAGATCTTTTCGGAAATTATTTATACTTCCAACAAAGATCATTACCAAAAATCAGATTGTGTAAAACTCTTTTCGCACTTCCTGGTTTCAGTTATACCAATGCGCAGACGCAAAAAAAGTTTTCATTGCTAATAATATTGATTTCCAAAGAAAATTATTAAAGATAAACACGAAAAATATTCGCAAGTGTTTACTCACTCCTGAACACAATTCCACAAATATGAATACTTAGCAATCAAGTTCGTGTTTTCTGCTCAAGCAACAGCAGAACTACCGTAACTCTTTCAATCTTCCTCGGTTTCAGGTCCACCAATGTGCGAACGCCAAAACAAGTTTTCATTATCAATAACTTAGTTCGGCGTGCAAAGATAAGTTGAAAAACAAACAAGAAATACTTTTAGCTGGACGGAATCAAAACACCGAAAGTAATCGGCAAAACTATTGTATTTGTCGAGAAAAAATTTCCAGTTTATTTAAAGTTAAACCAGAAAATCATTCGCTAAGTGCTTACTCCCTTCTGAACACAATTCAGCAAAAATGGTTATTTATCAACCATGTTCGTAGTTCCTGTTCAAGCAACAGCAGAATTACGGCGATAAGTAATTCATTCAAGGAAATGATAACTCAGGATATGAAAAATGCTTTCAACATTATAATCCAGTTTGGTCATTTTCAACCCAATAAGAACTTTCAACCCATTGTCAGCATTTAAAATAATGCTTTGATGTACTTGGAGAAGTAATTATCAGAAAACCTTTACAAACTTCTACCGCACCTGCTTAGGTAATAATCAACGGCCAATCAAAGATTGTGACACCTTACTTTTGCTATTAATGACTGTATAGACGAAAATGTTTTCCATCCGAAAAGAAAAAGCAACTGTCAAAACCTTGTTCAAATCAGATGACCCGGTCGATCCAATACATTATCGCCCTATTTCAATAACATGTGCATTCTCCAAAACCTTCGAACAAATTTTACATGCTCAAATATCAAATAAATACTCGATTTCAGTTTGGATTTCGCAAAAAGTTCAAGGCAAGATGCGTTGCTCCACTTTACAGAAAGTATCCGAGAAACAGATTCCAAAAAAACTGTTTATGCAGCTTTATTGGACCTTTCTATATCTTTTGTTTGTATTTAACGTAACATGTTAGTAAACCAAATTACCTTGTACGGGGTTTTCAATGGAATCAAATGCATTAATGAAATATTTTTTTTTTCAATGGACGCCTTCATAGAGTAAACGTGAATGGAGTTATTTATGACTGGATTGAAGTTAAGTGTTGTGCCACAAGGCACAGTCCTAGGTCCGTTGTTCAATTTATATATCAATGATAAACAAAAACGAATTTCTCATGAAATTACTTTGATGCAAAATTACATTAATTGGCATCAACTCAAATTAGTTACATAGTTTCTTGCTCAATCTACTATTTTTTTGCCGAAAATCAGTTGAAGTGATTGAATCAAAATAAGAGTCTTTAATTTTTTGCCCAAACAAATGATAAGCAGATTGTGGAAACTGACCAATTTATTTCACAGAGGTGAAGTTGCACTTCGCATACAACAGCAAAAACATGACAACAGAAAAAATTGTTAAAACACACATATCAGAAATTGATGAAGTACCTCTTTTTCTTTTTTTGGTTCTAACGCTTCTTGAACTCGTTGCATAACTTCTTCAAAATCTTTGATTTTGTCAGGACAATTAATCGTTCTTTCATCTACCCAAACTGCATCCATAAGCTCTGTATTGCTCCATTTTATCAAATATTTAGCTTGATCATTGGAGACTTGCCTTTTGTCCAATATCCGCTCAACCTTCTTCTCATTCTGGCTCGTTGTAGGTTTACAATCTACTTCATAAGAATTAGTCATAAAATCTAAGAATGCGAGCTTTTTAGAACCGAAAAAAAAATTCAGTGCAAACTTAGACGCTTTAATCTAGACTTGAGACAAGATCACCTAATAAAAAACTAAAACTTAAATTGCTGCCAAATGAAGATTTCATGCATTCAAGTGTTTGTCAAATTCAACTTTAATTGAGTTTAAACATTATAAAAAAGGACACGTCAAAACCATTCAATAAGCATTTGAAAACTTCTAAAATTGTAACATTCGCCCGGAAGTACATATCGACGGAAAATGTACTTTGTAAGCTAGGTTCTAAATTGACTGGCTATGTAACATTCGCCCGGAAGATACATATCGACGGAAGACAAAACTAAGTCTTAAGACGACTGGCTAGCGTCTAAACAGAGCTTTGCATGCTTTTCACCGTCTCTACCAAGCCAGTACTTTTCGGTGGTCTTTCTAACATCGGGTCGACTAAAACGTTACTGCTTTCGGCTTCGGTCAAAACACTCAAATTAACTAGATTACATGCAGATATAGTGAGCTCATGGCTGGGTCTCAGTATCCCCAGACCACGAGGTCACTCCTAAAAACAGGGCTACTACTTATTATATTACTATTGTTTTTGTTCAGTAGATAAAAATCATCATCTCCATCGAAGATGGATCAACCCTTTCCCCCAACTCCTAGCTTCTCATCTTTATCAAAATGAATCTAGATATCAATTAAATTCAAGTCAGGACATGACAGGAAGCTAAAAGTTTACGTAACAGGATAAAAGTTTCAGTTCCTTTACCCTTCCGGATTGATGAATCCGCTGGATCAAGCTCGTTAATCCTGATTTCCCCTTAATCCGGAAGGCCGTCTTTCACCCTTCACCGTTGTCTGCAACGGCCCTGCAACTATTGAAGCAGTACAATAGTTGCAACTCGGAGTGTTCTCTGTTACTCTGTAACTCGCTGTCGTTTTTCAATCTCAATTCCGTAGTTGTGGTTAGCGCAGCTAATGTTGTTCTTGTGTTTTTCTTTTTCTTCTTTGCCAAAATGGCCGTTTCTGACGTTTCTCAGAAATGTTACGTCATCACTTCGAATTTTTAAAATTTTAAAATACCAGAATATTCTAGCCCTCACTGTTTGGCCAATCATTCCAATAACTGTAACATTCGCCCGAAAGATACATATCGACGGATAACAAAACTAAGTCTTAAGACGACTGGCTAGCGTCTAAACAGAGCTCTGCATGTTTTTCACCGTCTCTACCAAGCCAGTACTTTTCGGTGGTCTTTTCTAACATCGGGTCGACAAAAACGTTACTGTTCTCCGGCTTCGACCAGAACGCTCAAATTAACTGAATTACATGCAAAAATAGTGAGCTCATGGCTGGGTCTCAGTATCCCCAGACCACGAGGTCACTCCTAAAAACAGGGCTACTACTTATTATATTACTATTGTTTTTGTTCAGTAGATAAAAATCATCATCTCCATCGAAGATGGATCAACCCTTTCCCCCCCCCCCAACTCTTAGCACCTCATCCTTGTCAAAACTAATCCAAATATCAATTAAATTCAAGTCAGGACATGACAGGATGCTAAAAGTTCACACGAGTCAATAAAAGTTTTCCGTCCCGAGGCCCTTCCGAATTCTTGAATCCGGTGAATCAAGCTCCTTAAGTTCGATTTCACGATAACACGGAAGGCTGGTTTCCACCCTTCACCATTGCTCGCAACGGCCTTGCAACTATTGTAGCAGCACAATAGTTGCAACTCGGAACGTTCTCTGTAATTCGTTGTCGTCTTCTTCAATTTCGATTTCCTCAATTTCGATAAAGTTGTTCTCGTCAGCGCAACTAATGTTGTTGTGTTTTCTCTCTCGTTTTTTGTTAAAAATGACCGTTTCAGCATTTCTCAGAAATGTTACGTCATCACTTCGAAAATTTAAAATTTTAAAATACGGGAATATCCCGACCTTCACCGTTCTGCTAATCATCCGAATAACGTCGTTAATCCTTCAAAATCATTAACTCGGAAGGTTCACTGCTAAAATTTCGAAGTCTGCAGAGATTGCATTTTGGCCATTCTAGTCGAATGTCACATACTCCCCGGACAGTCCGGTCAATGTCCTCATTGAATCGCGCAATATTCGTAAAATGGTTACAGTGTCATCGAACAGAATTTACAAAATGCACGAAATTACTTTTATCCACGTCACATCGACTCACTGCAGAATATAAATGGCATCATACTACATCACTATAGCCTTCAAATTCTTTCATTAATCTGCACATTGAGGATATGACTTAAGATAATACATTTTTTCTGACTTCCAGTGTCAATGTCCCGATTAGAACTTTTTCTCCTAGATTTAAAAAGTGTAGGCTTGCAGGACAGTCCTGCCAACCAACAAGCTAAAATTATCCTACTATTCTCCTTCCCTTCGGAAATCTTGCTTATTTATTGTCCTGAATAATAAAACTAAGAAACTTTGTGGTTAGAAAGAACAATGAAACAATCTCCCTCTTCGAGAGATTACTCAAGCCTTCCACGTCACCACAAAGTGATCAGTCTTCCTAAGTGATTAAAAACAATCATGCAGGCTGGAATATTTAAATATACTCTTCCCTCAAGCCTTTCTAAATAAATAATAAGTGAGTGTCTCTAAAGCCACTTCAACTAAAATCAAAATGCAAATTTATAAATGCAACAATTTCAAAACTCAACTAAATGTTTCAGTTTTCAATTACAACTTGGTTGCTTGGTTTCTCACTTGAGTCTTTCACACACATAAAACAATTCTGAGTTTTAAGTTTTCTTTATCACTCCTTTGTTCTCTTCTTTTTTCGTTGTTTAGAAGTTCTAAAACTTCTAAATTCTACTAATTTTCTTTCTTGCTGCCTCTTGTTTTCTCGACCATTCGTCAATGCTCCATTTCCTCCTCCTGTGACACTGACTCCGCACTTTCGGTTTCCGTGTCTTGTAGCACATCATTGGCTATCCTGACGCTGTTGGAAGCCGTCCTCCAACACTTCTGCTCTTCTACCCTCTGTTTACAGCAAGGTAGGGGATCCACGTTAGATTCTCTATTCCTGCAGAAGCTGTTGTGGAGACACAACGTCACGTTTCTCTCCAAATCTTCCTTTAACATCTCTGCCTTCTCCTTTCCACTACGTTCACTCGTCCTGGAAATTCTTTTCACAGCGGTGGTCACTGCATTCCGATGAGTCACGAGAGCTCGCTTGAAAGCTCCTGCTCCAATGTCCAGCTGATATTCACTGTACACTCTGCCGTGCTTCGACATATGCTTTTTCGCATATTCGTACAACCATGCAGTCATGTTGGCTCTGAACCATGGCATCAATCGTTTTCTCGCCCATATCTTCTTCACTTCCATCGGAATGTTTAGAACTTTGCACATTGTCTTAAAAAGATCTAAATCTTTCAGACAATCTAATTTCCGCAATTGTTCTCTCGTTGGTGCCTCTCCCAACCGATCCTGCACGTCTGTTCTTCGACCTGGTTCGCTGGAGCTTTGTTGCCGGTAATTCGTGACGGCTGGGACCGTACCCAGGCGTGTTTCCAGGCTAGGAGGCACAAAGGTGGTAATTACCGCATCACTCACCGTTCCCCCTTCCTTCAGCACTCCTGTGTCAAAGAGTTCTGCTTCCAGCTCCTCCAATCGTTCTTGGAAGACTCGATTCAACCAAGCTTGTCCTTCGATACTGTCGAAGTGGATGCCATCCGTGGTCAGTCTGGCTTAATCCATGGCTCTCAATTCATGTTCAATGTCCATGAGGATCATTCTTCCGGCATTTCGATTTGCTAGGTTCCTCAGTATGTTGTTCCATCTCATGACTCCCTCGTTGTGCCTCCTTCCTGATGCTGTCAGGCTTCTCGTATTCATTGGCACAGTGCAAACGGTCAGTACCGCGCAACTGAACTTCTGCCAGAGGGTAGTGAACAAACACACCATCATTGACTCCCACAGTGCTTCCTGCTCGTCTGATCCTCTGGAGATGTCATTAGTCCCAACTAAGATCATCACGTTGGGAATCTTCCCTGGATTCATCAGTTCCACCATCCGATATAACTGGGCTATTGTCGCGCCTCCAAAGGCCATCACCGTGGTGACCCACGAGGTCCTCAAATTCGACAGCACTCTGACTAAGCTGTCTCCCAATATCAGGTGAGATGTCCCGAGTGGTGGTTGCTGCAGGTTCACAGCCGGGCTCCAGGTAGCTCGATTGAAGCAGGCCCTCGGAACTGTCTCCGGAACTCCCGTGAAATTATACTTCAATTGATTATTCTTCTGCACGTCCATTACACGAGACACTTTCTTCGCTGGCATCTTTCGTACTTTCCTTTCTGGGATTCTCGAGCTCCCCATGAGTGGTGTCACGTTACTTATCCCTTGTCTGATCACGGTCTGGGAGAGTTGTACTCTGCCCGTATCGTCAATCGTTCCATAGGGTGCAGTCACCCCGGAACCTGGCGCATTCTTGTTAGCGACCAGTCGTCCAGCTGTCTCTATCAGTTTCCTCACTGTCTGTTCTACGACGGGGTCACCCAAGGTGTCACTAGGATCCGGGATCGTTACTCGATTTGTCTCTACTGGAGGTCGTGTCTCCGTTGTTTGACTCATTTCTCGAGGCGTCAAGAGCTCCATCGGGGACTGCCCACGAGGAATATCCCTTGCAGGTATCACTTTCTCCACGGCCGTTGTCAACGCCACCTGCTCCGATTGCTCTTTGTATTCCTGCCTTAAGCGCTCAATCTCTTGACCCTGCTTTTTGTTGCAGTCTTCAAACAACTTTCTCCACATGTCCCGATCTTCCTCCATCTGGAGCATGCTTCTGGTCATCTCGTCCAGCTCCTTCTTCGTACTTCTCAACTGATCGTTCATCTCGTCCAGATCTTGTATGGTTTGGTTCGTCTGAACCTTCTGTGTTACTTTCGCCCTTTTTGGTGGCACAGCTGCTCTCAGTGGTGAACCAGACGAGGTCGCCTCGCTGTTCATCTCCCGATGCATTCTCGTCA